CCCCCCCCAGTCAGGACACATAAGAATCAACTAATCCATAAATAAATGGAACAACAAATTGATCTCTCTCTCTCTGTATTAAAAAAAAAATCAATAAAATGGGTCTTATTTTAATTTGGAGAAGAAATACAGACTGTTCTTCTCCTAGAAAATCTGACTGGGGGTTTTATAGAACTGGCACGTCAGTTTGTGAAATAGGCACAATGCCACCCAAGCAGATGGATCCCCGAAAGAACCGGAACAGGCCTCCAGCCTGACAGTTATGTGCTAGAGGGACATCCAGGAAGACGGAGGCCTGGGGACGGCTGGTTCTTCATGTTCAACGTAAATGATGACGATTTTTTTTTTTTTTTTTTTTTGTCAACACTGGAACTCCGAAAACTGCAGCTTAGTTATAATATACTTTGAAGTTCACCCTGGAGAATTCATTGTCAGCACCTAAAGCTTCCATGGGGGGTAGTGATCGCCATAGAGCGTAACGCACAGTATTTCAATATATGCCCTTTGTAGGCAGCCTCTGAATTTAACCTGTACACTCATGTAACTGTATGTTTTCTCTGCATTTTAAAGGTATAATTGAAAACTGCTCATGTTTATTAATGTGAATGGTCGTGTTTACATTTGCCATGTGGATCTGTGGCAAACTTTTCCCATTATAATTTTATATTGTGCGCCCCCACATAAGCTCATTTTACATATTTTCTTAATTTGCTTTCGGGCCATATGAGTGATAGGTAGCCTAACCTATATCAGGAATTCAATAAAAGCTAGGCCCATTGTTCCCCAAATGCTAGCGCTTCAGCAGGGACTGTTCAATATGGATCAACAGCCGTCAGCATCCCAGGCACTGTTCTAGGCACAAGGGGAAAACACGCCCAAACAGCAGAAAAGTACAAGGCCTTGCCCTTTGGTTGTTTGTCATTTTTGTTTCATTGTGTCTGTCATTTCCTCACCTGCAGGTAATTGGAAAATTGGATTTTAAGTGGGAAATGGAATAATGGTCCCTATATTCAATGCAGGAGAGGAGTCACTCACAATTTTTGTGGACAAGCGGAAGCTGAGCAGAGGATCTGAAGGTAGCGATTCCAGCGCCAACAGCTCTTCGGTCACCCTGGAGACGCTGCACCAACTCGCCGCCTCCTATTTCATCGACAGGGACAGCACCCTGCGGAGGCTTCACCACATCCAGATCGCGTCCACTGCCATTAAGGTGCGTGTGAGTCCCCCTCGGTTCGCGTCCTGCCATTACTTGTCCTATCTCTAACATCCATCTCTAATTTTTGGCATGTCCCGCTGATTTAAACAACTGTGTTCTGAAATTATTTTAACTTTCCCTCTTGTCCTGAGTTATGTAATGTATTTAAGATACAATTGTGTGTGTCTTTAAAAAAAAAAATATATATATATATATATATATATCTTCATTGATTTCAAAGAGGAAGAGAGAGGGAGAGAGAGAGAAACATCAATGATGAGAGTCATTGATCGGCTGCCTCCTGCACCCCCCGACTGGGGATCGAGCCCGCAACCCGGACCTGTGCCCTGACCGGGAATCGAACCAGTATCTCCTGGTCGATGCTCAACCACTGAGCCACGCCAGCCGGTCCAATTGTGTGTGTCTTGATGTAATTTTTTTTTTTTTTAACTTGATGATTTGGGTCCAGGTTCTCCATGGAAAAATATTAATGGAAGTATCCTTGAGTTATATAAGTTTATCCAGGGGTACACAGACTCCCTCACAGAGTGTCCATAGGTAAACTATTGTTTTAATAGCATGGATTTTTTTTCTTGGTAAGTCTTCATATTTTATTTTATGCATTTGAAAACATTATCCTTAGGAGGGGATTTATTAGACTCAAAGTGGTCAATGGCACAAAAATCATTAAGAAAGTGCTGCATTAAGCAGTATTTTCCCCAATGCTTTTGAAGTTAAGTGCAAATATTTGGGGATAAGTTTCTAGAAGTCAACAGACACCATAATCTACAATTAGTGGATAAACTCCACGTATTCACAAAAATCTTATGTTTGTGACTATTTTAAGGTTAACTTTAGCAAAGCAGGGAAAGCCAGAATGAGTTTCTCTCTCTCAAGAGAGAGAGAGTGTGTAGTTTCCAAAACAATAGCCTTTTGGACACATTTCTCTGGCAATTTAGGTCAGCACGTATTGTTTTGGCCAACAGCCATCGCAAAACTCACAGACCGAAGAGTTGGCACAGGATGCTAGCGCGATCCCGGACTGGTGAGCGAGAGGAAAACAGAGTACAAAGAACATTTCTTTTTGTTTCAGCTGCAGCATTTCATCATTATTGCAAAAACAGTCCCTTAAATATATCTTATTGCTTTATGAGATTAAAACTAATGTGTGTATTTTTTTTGGTCAGTTAATTAAAAAGTTAGGACTTCAGTATTTGGGAATGCTCGGTGAAATTAGCCCAAGAAGTAGCTTTTGTGATGATGCACAGGAGAGGATAGAGGTGGTGTAGGAATATCTTTAGCTTAAGGGCTACGCCAATAATACTACCCGTCTTCAATACTGGTAGTAGATGCGGTTGGTTAAGAGCGTCCTGTAGATATAGATTGCACATTTATAGTTTACTTCTGACTGTAAGATTTAAGTTATACTGGGTGACCAAGTATATAAGTAGTAGTTATGCAGTAGAGATTAAAATGTAGCCAGCGTGAAAGATGTTTAAGTTAATTTAAAAGTATTGTAAGGTGGAATATTGTTAGAGATATTTACCTTGAGGTTGCTGGGGAGAAATGGATTTTTTTTCAGAAATCAATTTCAGTGATATAAACAAGAACTTAGAGTGTATTTTCTAATAGAAGACATCATTGCTGTAAGTGTGTTTATTATATGGCTATTGATTTTTTCTGCTCAGCGCCAAGTGGAATTATACAATAGAGTTTTTGGTACGCATACGGAGGAAGAAATATTCACTCACAGTTCATGTGAAGACTTACTGGGTATTTGTATGTATTCTTGTCTCCCACAAAGGAACTGGGATCACAGAAGGCACCTGTTTTAATGGTGGAAAGGACTGTCTTGTGCGTTGTTCTTAGGCCCTGGTGATGCTACTAGTGACGATGAGGCTTCAGGAAGCTTTCATCGAACTGTGTGGTGGAAATGAGACCGAAGGAAAGTGGCTTTTCTGAGTAATCTAAGGACAGCTCCGGGGCAGAGAAAGGAGTAACCTGGGATGCGAGAGCGCGAGAGCTGCTGGCTACGGGCTCGGCCCATTAACCGTGGAGAGGAGCCCGGGGCGCAGAATGGAAACGTTTGAAAGCGTGTGTCCAGGGGCCGGGGACGGGAAAAGTGGGGCTTTAGACAGGGAGAGGAAACAGAGGAGAGCGTGGGAATGATACCGGGATGGATGGTGAAGAGCAGTCACTTATAACCGTGTTTCGGTCCAACACTGGCTGTGTTTGCAGCAGCTGTCCCGCAAGATTATAACGGAGCAGGATTCCCCATGGCCTAGGGATGCTGGAGGCATCGTAAAGTCTCAGCACAAATTGTTGCTCTCGGGTTTGCGGTGACGCTGGTGTAAACACGCCTGCTGAGCGGCCAGTCACACAAAAGCACAGCGCGTGCGACTCCAGGAGTGGGCGATGCCATCTAGGCGTGCGTCACACTGCGGTCCCAGGACAAGATCGCCGAGGGACGCGTTTCTCAGGACCTGTCCCCGCTGTGCAGGGGAACAGGGACGGACACACACCTGGTGCTGTAGCTGAGAGGAAAGGGAACTGAAGTATGTCCCCCTGGCAACAGCCTGGCTAAGAATATAGTCACAGAAGCACGAAGGGAGTGCAGGAAGGGTGGTGAGGAATTGGGCAGAGAGGGGAGCGCAACCAGGCTCTCGGGATTTTGCTCAGGACTGAGTGGGGTTCTCTCCTGAGTCAGTCATAATTTTAAATGCCTGGTGATTCTCTGGCCTGGGGTCAGCTGCAGCCTGGCTTGTCGTGGGAGCTCCAGGGAATGTTCTGCGCTAGGGTGTGGGGTCCATGCGCACTTGACGGGGCCCCTTGGATCGCACACATACCTTCATGTGCTTGTGGGTTGTCCTAGGGAGAGCTTCCCTTGTTTTCATTAGTTATCAAACATGCCCCTACTGTCCTAAACTGATTACATTTTACTCATGTCCCAAAGGTCTCCCTAGTCTGTATCTTTCATTTATTCATTTAAAAAATACATATGTTCATTCATTAACCACTCACACACTCCTTTGTTTGAATAACAGTATGAACTTTGGAGCCAGAAGACTTGAGTAAATCCTATGGTCATTAGTCATGAGACCTGGAAAAATTAAAACACTCAACTTCGACCTGACTTAGGTTCTTAGGTTCCTCATCTGTAGAATGAATATCCTATCGATCTGCATTGAGGGCCAAACGAGTGAATATGTGAAGAACTCTGAGAGCAACGCTTGGCCTGAAAAAGCGCTGTAAAGGGTCAGCTATTCGTATTTGATGGGTGGTTATCAAGCGTTTATTTTCTTCCAAGAAGTAGCTTATTTGTCTCCCAGTCTCTCCATCCAGAGCTCAGTACAAGATAGGAACTCAATAAATGCTAATTGAAATTAAATGAACCTAACCCAGCAGGAGCAGGATTGATGATGTCGCAGCTTTCCGACGCTCAGCAACCCCGGAGTTTCCGATTTCTAAAGTGAGCTAAGTGCTTGCACGTGTGGGCGCCCAGACAGCTTTGGAAGTTTCGCAGGCTCCCCAACAGGCTTTTATCTTCAAACCCACTTCTTCCTTCTGCGCCTCTCGGTAGCAGAATTACAGCTCTTCAGGTAAGCAGGACGGAAGTACCTTTATTACCGGCAGCTGGTATTTCACAAACTCAATAAAATGCATCCAACAAGTACGTGTTGGGTGTCACCAGGCACAACGCCACACGCTCGGTGCGCTGCAGGCACTTCAAGGAGGAGGGGACCCTGCCCCCAACCTTTCCACGTTAGTTACACGGGTGGGACTTCGTGGTTCTGCTGTGTTGGGACCCTGATGCTTTGGAGAACGTTGGTGTGAAATACAGAATAATTATACAAGAAAAGGGCAACAGCGCGTTCTTCTGAAAAATAAGCTATTTCCAAAGGACGGTACCAAAGGGCAGGCCACTCGTTAGAACTAAAAACAGTACAATAATCCACTTACTGGAATTCACGGAAACCCACTGACCCTGAGACGAAGGCCCGCTTTCTGGTGAATTTGTGTATCTCTGCCCCTAGTCACTGGGAGGCTGTGGGGAAAAGTGGTTTGGACCACATTACAAAACCCTTCCTTCCAGATTTCAGGAAATTAAAATAATTCGGGGGACCTCAAACCCTGACAACCTTTTCTTTGCGTTTCAATTTCCGCCTGGGTTGTTATCATTAATTACGGATCCTGAGATGATTAGGTCAAGGTGTTCTCGGCTTGCCTTTTATCTTGTTAACAAAGCTCTCGTTTTTTCATGACTCTGGGAGATAAGGGACAGTTTGACCTCTCCCTTCTTAAATTATAGCAATTTTTAACTCACTAGAAAAAATGAGGAAAACCCTAGGAAAGGTCATCTTCCAAATAAACTTTTCATTGAGTTTGCAGTTTTGGGGGGTGGAAAAAAAGATGATATAAGGAAAGAAGTGACCTCTGTACCAGCTGTCAGTTTAATTCAGTAAAGGGAGAGCATTGCCGGTAAATAATTGTGCATTTGAGGTCATTTTTATTACTAGAAATATTGAAACATAAATTATGTCGACTATCAACCATCAACAATATCTTGACAACTCCTGAATATGTACTTTCATTCCCACCCTCAAACCCAAGTCCCTCTAATTTTTCCAGTAACCTAAAATGTTTTCCTCTGTTTATCAATTTTTATCAAATCCTGGGTGGCTAGAAATAAACCCTTTTCTTGCCATTCTGTACGTTTCTTCTGGATACCTGGTCGGGCGGTGGGTCCTGTGGATCCCTCCGCTCCGACCCCTTCCTCGCAGGCCCCGCTGGGGCCCGGGTCGGGCGCTTCTCACTGTGGAGCCGCCTGGCTGCTCCCGCCCTCGCTGGATCCCCTTCCAGATGCGGCCTGCATGGCATCCCCCCAAAATCCTCTGCAGCCCTTTCCCGGTCCACCCTCCCAGGTTGCTGGACGCTTGGAACGTTTCTTATTTCCTTGTGTCTAACGCTCTGAGATCACAGTGCCTGGGATTGAACGGTGCAGTGTCTCGGACCCT